TTTTCTAAATGGCACCATGGTTTACCTAGTGGCACAAATTAAAAGCCTATTCTTAATATCAATTCCTGCCACCATCCTTACTACCACAACTCCCTACAAATATCTGATCCCAAGTCTTCATCCATTCCACTTATGAAATATTTATGAAGTTCATTCCATTCTCTCACATCACTCTATAATCACTTCAGCCTACTCATTTTAGTAACATCTATCACTCTCAGAAATTCCCCTGTTTATTTATTTATTTATCTCCAAGAGGATTTTGTTCAGAACTGTATCTTCAGTTCCTGGTACAGTGGCTGATAAATGGTACATGCTCATTAAGTGTTGAAAAAAATGAATTAATGCAGGCTTTCAATATTTATTAGGTAACCGCTGCAGTGCCATCTCAAGCAATCTCCTTGACNTGCAGGCTTTCAATATTTATTAGGTAACCGCTGCAGTGCCATCTCAAGCAATCTCCTTGACTTCAGTCTTAGCCCTCTCCAGTCCATTTACATTTCCTCTAGAACACCTTTTCTCATTCAAAAATCTGATGATATCACTGCCATTTAAAATTATTTTGTAATGCTTTATAGCCTTCCAAATGAAGCAATTTATTCATTTAACAGTCATTTATTGAGCATAAACTATGTTCTAAGGAATGGAAAGCAGAGAACAGCTGACAGACCCAATCAGAGTGCTTGCAATTTACTGAGAAAAATAATAATGAAGGAATTAACAGTGAAGTGTAATCATCTAAGGAGGGGAGCTCTGGGTGACTTGGAAACACTGGGCAAGAGCACCTGACCCAGGGCAGGGAGCGGCATGTGAGAAAAGGCTTCCCAAAGGACAGAAGAGTAAAAGATGAGGATGAAGTTGGGGCCAAGTCCCAAAGGGGCCCACAGTCCACATTTATAGTGTCTGCTTAGTCTGATGTTTAAGGATAGTTAGTGTCTCACTTTTGATGTTTGTAGTTTTATGTCCTATATTTTCTCAATTTGGACTCCTTTCTCTAGAAACACATGACCATTTAGAATTCCCTAAATGCCCCATGACTCTTCCTTCTGCAGTTCTACTTACTTAGTCTTGCTGGCCTAGGACATAAACCTCTTTNAAAAAAAACCCTGCTAACTATAATATGTCATTATGATGCAACTAGTTAATATTATGGATTCATATTTATTATGAAAGTAGATTATGTGAAATGTAAATTGGGATAACACTTTTTCGCCTTTAAGGAAAACTGTAATTCTGTATCAGTGTTATAAAAGATACCACTGTATGTTTTTTCTCGAATGTTGAGGAAAAACAAATCTAACATTGTCATGCCAAAATAGTATATTTTACATTATTATACCTAATGATCCAATATCATTAAATCCATCTTAACATTTTCCTCATTGATGATGGCGGAGATATTCTCTTGACTGGCTATCAAGGCTTGCTTTGAAGAAAGTGGTTCCTAATGATCCATGACTCTCAGTCCTCCAGCTATTTGGATTGGTAAAGGATCTCTTGTTTGACTTGACATTCTGGAGGTTCTATATAAAAGTAAAAGCTAAAGTTAACAATATGACATTTTAAAGATTTTACAAAGGTCTTGCATGTGCTTATATTTTTGGATGAAGTCTGATTGGAGGGGGAAAAAAATATCAAGTTCTTGAATGTAAAGTCCCACTAACAGAATATTCTATGGTCTTTCTAAGGTATATCATGTACTTAACTGTGATTTCCAAGTAATCCTTTAAAAAGAAAAGTTTTTATCTCGTATATTATTTGTTTCTCTGAAAAAATCTTTGAAAACTTAGGCTATTTTAGCATAACATGAAATAGATGCAAATATNCTGGACAGTAGTAAGCCTGAATTAAATGGCAGTGATTTGGAGATGGAAATCTCTACATTCTCTTCACATTAATTCTCTACACAGCCACTGGAATATATAGACCTCCTTGAGGGACATTTGTGACTCACCAAATTATTCTTTTATGTTTTAAAAGATAAAGGATGGCTTTTCAATTACACTGAGTAAACATAGCCAAATGTTAACTTTACATTTAATTTAACATAGACAATTTAATCCAAAGTATAGTGAACAACAATAGAAATGAGACCAAACAGGCAGAAAATATTTGACCTTTAATTATAAATATGTCATACATGATAAGTGTGGTATCCTTAGGTTATTGAATATTTGTGTCTCTGTGCTACTACAGATAATACAATCTCATGGTTATTCTGAGCGGTGGGTACTGGTATGATTGACAGTTTAAAAGCATATATGTATCAAAAATTTAACTAATAAACATCTTTTCCACAAGTTTTTAATCACAATTATACTCTGATGTCAAATCAGGCCAAAAGTAACAGTATAGAAACAATATAGAAAGTAATAATTATGGTGTTACTTTATTATTGCAGAAGTTCATAATAATTAGCACAGAAAAATTAAATTCACAAATATATCATTATTGAGTTGCATATTGACTTTTTTCTGCTCATGTAGGTGCCTTATATCTTTGTGGGTATAAAATTTATCAGTATTCAAATTATAAAAATCTGAAGATGTCAATTCCAATTTTTAAGGATCATTATCTAATCAAATATATTTAGGAACTTAAAGTCAATGTTAATGTTTAGCTAATGATTTGAAAATAGGTAAGAATATACAAGTAACAAATATGCTGAATATTTTTATTAACATTT